TTGGTCTGATGTTCAGCTTTTAGGCCTTGCTAAGGAACAGACGCTGCTGCTGCTATGTGAAGCATGAATGAGCTAATTAGCAGATATTGCACTTCATGTCTGGTCTGTAATAATGAGACTGTGGAGGAGACATTACTGGGACCCGGCACCGGATCCGGAGCCCATAAATGCCGATGTCATTGTAATGTAGGACATGCAAATGAAGAGCCTTCAATATAAAATACAGCCAACCATAAACAGAGAGCATGCCGTCCTCCCAAACCCATTGGCTGCACCCATCCCCCCTAACCTAGAGTATAAGCACTGCTGACAGTCTATGCATACATGTCTTCTGTCCCGGATTTGCTGCGACAGCCCCACATCTTGGCCCCCTGCCCTCACTGGGCCATGTCCCGGGACCGCAGCATCTACCTTATTTTAGTTAATCCACATAAACTGTCAAATCGAAAAAGGCAATTATTGATAGGTCAGGACAATGAGTGGGCGGTCCCTGCATAGTTAGAGGTGGATTCTGGGTGGGACCAACCAATAAAGTGGGAGCAATGGTGGTCCCCACATATTTAGAGGCGGGGTCTGGGTGGAACCAAGCCGTATAGTGGAAGCGATGGGCAATCCTTCTATATTTAGAAGCAGAATCTGGGCGGAACCAACCCAAAAAGTGGGATTGATGGGTAATTCCTGTATATTCAGGGGCAGGGGTTGGACGGGATCAACTAATAAAGTCGGAGCGATGAGCTGTCCCCAAATATTTAGAGGCGGTGCCTGGGCAGAATCAACCCGTAAAGTGGGAGCGATGGGCAATCCCTGTATAGATTTAGAAGAGGGGTCTGGGCAGGAGCAACCGGTAAAGAAAGCCTGATTTGGGTGCGCCTAACTGGAAAGTGGGCGGGCATAATGCAGACCATGGGCGGGGTCAGCAGTGTCACGGGACCTGGGACAATAATGTTATGTATGAGTCTATGGGAATTTTTGTTACTCGGTCAGGTCACCCCAGCTATGTGCGGAAGGGTGGAGATCACACACAAAGAATTTTCACATTTGTGAAATTGTTCAGATTTTTGCACATGTACACAGCAGTGGGATCTCTGGGAGGACCTTAAAGGGAACCTGTGCCCTGATTTTAAAGTTGAAATTAGAGATGTAATATTCGTTTCATTACGAATTAAAATTTGGAGGAATATCGGCTCATTGGAACATTCAGATGCATCAAAATTTCTGAATGAAAGAAATAATTACTTTGAACGTATCCGAAATTTTTTCCGAATGTCATTTGGAATGAACTGATGTTGTTAAATGGTAAAATAAATAAACAAAAACCCAGTGTGGAGCCCCCTTTCATATTCATACCAGACCCTGTAGGTCTGGTAGGAATTTTGGGGGGTGACCCCAAAGCCGAAAAAAAACCATGGGGTCCTCCCTAATATCCCTTAGCAT